AGCAGGAGCCAAAGAAAACCCCAGGAGATACTTAAAAGTAATCTCATGGCAAAGAAGCAATAATGCCATGTTGCTTCGGATTGTGCACAACCTCTCTGCTGAAGGTAGAGCTGATGAATGTCCCACAAATCAAAAGGAAAATGGCCCAAAAAAATGGCCCAAGTGCAGATGAGAACGATGTTTTGTTTCCATGAGCTGGTACTTGCAAACGAGCCATTGGGAGACACCACAGAGGTCAGAGCCGCTCTGCGCACAGGGCCAGGGAGCACGAAGACCCGTGCCTGGAGAGACGCAGCTCCCCAGCTGTAGAGCTGGGCAGTGACCAAGAGCAGAACGAAACAAGACCTTGGCCAAGCCAGCGAGGACAAAGGCAACTGCGGCACGAAAGCAGGAAGGCACCCTGTGCTTCGCAGCTGCTGCAGCCGGCGGGCTGCTCCCCGCGCTGAGGCTTCTCCAGCGGTCAGCCCGGCGCCGTCCCCCGTGCCGGGGGGTGATGGCTCTGCACCGGCGCTGCCGGCACTGGCACCGTGCGTTCAGGATACAGCGCAGCCTCAGGCAGCAACCTGCAAAGGTCCGTGAACAGAAGAGGAAGCGAGCGCGGACTCACCCAGCTGGCAGGTGGGACCGTGGAAGCCGGGGGCACAGACGCACGCCCCGGTGACCGGGTGGCACTCCTGGGTGGCTCCGGCACACTGGCAGATCTGCCCACAGCCCTCACCGAAGGTCCCTGGCAGGCAGGCTGTCAGGAGAGAGGGCACCGAGGTGACTCAGATGAGCTCAGCAGGAGCTATCCCACCCATCCCACTGTGCGAGACTCTTTTTTTCCCTTTCTATTTTAAGCCAGGATTTAGGAAGCCTTTTATGCCGGTGACAGTTCTCTGCCACCCAAAAAGCAAAGGGGCAAACGGTTCCTTGACTCCGGGAAAGACTTGGATTGAAAAGGAAACTGAGTGCTGAAAGGCATCAGGTGCCTTTTGCAACGCTACCTACCTGCAGAGCCCTCCCTACCCCCGGGTCCCCGCGAGCTGCGCCCCCCACACGCGCGGACATCGCAAATGCACCCCCGTCCCCTGGGTAAGGAATGCGCTCACATGCCTCCCTCTCTTCCAGACGTGCTCATACCCACAGCAGCTCATTTTAATACTGATTTATTGCTAATCCTCTGGACAAACACATAGCTCTGACTCCCCTCTTGGCTCCCTGTGCTTCGCTAACATTCCGTGGGCACGCACCCAGCGCCCAAAATGAGCGCTGCTCCTTGGCACAGCTCGCTGTTGGGTTGGGTTTTTTGTTTTTTCCATGTTTTTCCATGTTTTTTAAAAAAACTTTATGCAGCAATTGCTTGACCCATCACATTCCCAGATCCTGTCGGCAGAACTGCGAGAGGATCTCCCCCTTCTACGTACATTTTTCACATCCAGAGCCGGTAAAGCCCGGCAGGCAGCCGCACCGGCCGGTGACGTGATCGCAAGGCACTCCCAGGGGACAGGCGCAGCGGCCGGCACAGTCCTTCCCGAAGGAACCGGGCAGGCAGGCTGTGGGGAAGCAAGCGAGGAGAGGGAAGTCTCCTGACTGGTTTTCAAGTCAGTGTTAACACCTGAGCGGCATTAGAGGCTGAGGGGCAGCTCCTGCCCTCGGCGCCCGGCTCCCGCACGGGGTGCTGTGCCAGGCAGCAATTTTTTGCCTGTTTGAGGGCAGGCTGTCGCCTCCTCACAACGTTCTGCCACAATTCGTAACTCTCATTAAAAACGAAGTTTCTCTGCTTCCCAGACCGTGGCAGGAGGCAGGGACGTACCCAGCGGCGCCCGAGCGCCGTGCTGCCGGAGGGGTGCTGGCTCACCTTTCTCGCAGCGCCGGCCCCGCCAGCCGCGGGGGCAATCGCAGGCGCCGGTAACGTGATGGCACGACACGTTGTCCCCACAGTCGCACTGCTCCTCACAGCGGGCCCCGAACAGCCCCTCTGGACAAGCTTCGGAGATGCGAACATGGGAGAGAGACGACAAGTTATACAAAAAAAGTGACGTGGGTCTTTTCCACTGCAGTTTCTGTAGGCACACGCTCCACTTTAGTTATGTCCCTTCCACTCCCGCCAAGCCAGAGCGGTGCTGTGACAAGGCCGGTGACATCTGCCAGCCTGCGAAGGAGTTATTGCTCTGGCGAGGGCTGTGGCTGGAGCTAACGGCCCCTCTTGCCTGTGGTTCGGTGGTGATGGGCAGCACCAGTCTGTCAGTGCGGGGACTGCCGTCCCCCTCTGCCCCACGGCACGCACGGCGCGGGGAATTGCTGCACGGCACGTCAGTGGCTCAGCAGCATCACCGCCCAAACCTGCCCGGGGTACACGGGCGTGAAGTGTACCGCTGGCGGTCACCTAATTCAACACGGAAATCCTTTTTAAGTGCGCCAGAGGTTTTTGGAAGTGTTATTCCTGGCACTGTGTGATGAGAGCGGGGTGCCAGCAGTGTGTTTTAATCACGGCAGCCATCGTTTAGTTTTGCTGCGCCTTCTGTTCTCCCAGAAGCACCCGGTTTCTAGCGCAGCTGCAAGACAAAGTGTGCGCAGTACCGGAATTAGGCAGAAGTCAGCACTGCAGGCGCAAAATCTACAAACCTATTTCTCACTTCTGCCTCATGAATGAATGCAAAAAAAGTCAGCGAGTCCCCGTACCACTGTCCAAACAGGCTGCTTGGCCGCGCAAGGGCCAAGTTCCTACATGCAGCCGTGGTGAGAGCGCGGCTGCGCCGTGCACACAGGCAGGTATTTGCACACACACGCAGTTTGAACACAGCTCTGTGGGAAGCCAGGGAGACGATTCTAGCTTCTTCTTTTTTTTTTTTTTTTTTTTTTAATTTATTATTTTTTTC